TTGAAAAATTCTGACTCGCATAACTTTAATGTTCACTTATGTATTAAACAATTAATGTGCAAAAGATATCAAATTGTTAAGATATAAAACTTTAAAAAGGTTGGTATTAAAACTTACATAGTAGCTAACAAAATGTTCAATGAGAGAATTGAGGTTTGTCTGCCGTGCTTGCATTCGAATGGAAACTTAATAAAATAAGAATTATATTTTGCTTTCAAATATAAAGTTTTTTTAATATTAAAAAGCAAAATAATAAGCATTACAAATAATTTTGTTACGAATCATTTTGAATCTTCTCTTAATAAGAAACTTAGTGACAAGAATTTTTTTTCTTCTTTTAAATTTAATTCCGTGATAAATTGAAATTTTTTTCCAGACCTATTAGGATTTATAGCAGAAAAGAAAAAAACTTCTCGAGCATCTGAAATTAATTTTTTTTTACTTTTCCGCTCACGCCCCATTCGATTCAAAGAATTTAAATAAATATGATATTCATTACCTCCTTTATGCGTTTTAAAATATACAAATGTAAATAATTTCGTTCAAAATGAGTGGTTTCAAAAAGTTAAATCGGAGAATTTCTTCGAGAAAATTTCTGATACGCACATGCTAAATTATATTCACAAAATACAAAAAAAAGAAAAAAATAAATAAATAAAAAAATAAAAAAGAGCAACATACACGATTATTTTTGTATTTTGAATAAATATTTTCTTAGATGCAAAACCTGAGAAATAATTTTTTTTTCGCCGTTGGTATGTTAAATTTCACAGAAACGAAGAGATCAGTTTTTTTTTTTAACGAAATAAAAGTATTTTAAACCCATATAGATTTTTTACGAAAATTGTTCGAAAAGAATGACAACTAATATATTTTAGTTCACGGGCCACAAAAAAAGGCTTCGAGGACAGCCAGTTGGAAACCCCTGATCTAGAAGCATACAATGGTTGTCTACCCTTGCAGCAAAATAACTTGAGAGTCCTCATTGGACGAATCTTGACTTAATAAGAGTTCAAAGGCTTTCCTATATAGAATTGTCCGATTCACCTGATCTTTGCAGTCACAACCGGCCTTATATTCAGATTTGTCCTATAATTTATATTCATTATTCAGCCAATATAGGCCCTATAGTAAAAAAATCTAGGCATTCCAAATGGGTTCGTCGGTGCATAGGACCTATATGGAGGGCCAAGGTAAAGTTGTTGCTAGGATAGTTTTAAAAAAAGAAATCAGAATTGAATGTCGCCCAAAACGGTTTTTCGCATTTGCCCTAGCCAAGTTTATGAGCATAATAGGGCTCCCCTCCCTTTTAGCGTTCCAAACATTGTCTTGAAATGAATCCTATCCTCATTATGGCGTTTCCCATTAAATGCAAAGTAATGTATGTTTCTCGCCAAATTTTTATTACTTAGGTAAATTCATTTAATTGCCAAGTTTAGATAGAAAATAATCGATTGGATGCAATAGCATTTTTAGTTTAAGGATCATTCAATTCAGAAAAAAGTTTCGTACGTTTTAAAGATTGTTTCGACTTTTTACAGAATTACGATTTCTGTATAAATTATCATTCGATTTCAAAATATTTGAGTAAAAGATAAATAGGATGAAAAGTTAGCATTGTTCCTGACAATTTTTATCCTAAACTAAAATATGTATTTTGTTTATTTTGAAATTTTTTGACTTTTGGGATATTTATTACCTATCTGAAATCAAAATAAATTTTTAATGCAGAATTATGATGCGAACCTTTAGAACCGTATCTGATACACTTGTCTCAACTCACTTGAAATAAGACTTGCATTGACTGAATAATTTCTTTAATGTGATGTGCATGCCGAGTTTATTCCAAAGTTAAACATTGTAATTACTTTTATTTTATTATTGTTGTTTATTTTACAATTATAATTATTATACATTAGAAATATATCATATTAATCTTCTTTTTTTCTCATAAAAAATTTCATGATTCAAGAATGACTATTTAATGGTTCTTACAAAAAAAAAAAAATTGTTCATAAAAACATTTCGCATTAGGCTTATGTATCTGAATATCTTAATACTTCTCTGAAATTCTAATTGTGAAAAATTGAGATTATCTTTACGTATTCAGGATCCTTAAAACAATAAAAAGTGACATACATTTTGAGAGACACCGTCGCAAAATGTTGCTTATTTTACTAATCTTTAAGTTGGAAAAAGAAAATTGTTATTTTTGCCGGTTTGACTTTGAAGCGATGAAGGTTGATATATAATATACATATATATA